TATCCGACGCACGACTTGGAGCTAGACGCAGTTTTTCATGCTCTCAAGATTTGGCGACATTATCTTTACGGCGGTCGATGCAAGATTTTCACAGATCATAAGAGCTTGCAATACATTTTCACTTAGAAGGAGCTCAACATGAGACAGCGCCGTTGGTTAGAGCTCGTCAAAGATTATGATTGCATGATTCAGTACCATCCGGGGAAGGCGAACGTCGTTGCTGATGCCCTAAGCCGTAAGGTGAGGGGTGACTTGACGTACGTCGTTACTCAGCAGAGCCGTTTGATTCAGGAGTTCGCCCGGATGCAGATTAAGATAGTCGATGCACTTCCCACAGCCATCACGGGGAGTGTAAGTTCCATGCAGATTCAGCCGACGCTCACAGAGAGAATCCAGCGGGAGCATGCTTCTGACGAATTCGTTCGTGTCATGGATGCCAAAGTCTGCGCCAGAGGCGTTGTGGGTTTTTAGCGAGGTACCGATGGGGCCTTGGAGTTCCGCAGCAGGATTGTGGCGCCAAAAGTCGAGACGTTGCGGAAGGAGATATTGACGGAGGCTCATACCGCACCCTATCTAGCCCATTTCAGAAGCACGAAGATGTATCATGACCTGAAAGGGTCGTTCTGGTGGCGAGGGATGCAGAAGGATGTTGCTGACTTTGTGAGGAAATGTTTTACCTGTCAGCAAGTCAAAGCCAAACATAAGAGTCCGATAGGCCTCCTGCAACCACTACCCATTTCGAAGTGGAAGTGGGAGGAAGTCACGATGGACTTCGTCACGGGGTTACCGAGGTCGTCTGAACATCACGATGCAATCTGGGTCGTGGTCTACAGATTGACTAAAGTCGCTCATTTCTTACCTGTTTCGATGAAGATGTCTTTGGATAAGTTGGCTGAGATTTAGACCTGTGGGATCATTCGACTCCACGGAGTGCCTGTTACTATCGTGTCAGACAGAGATCCCAGATTCGTCAGTAGATTCTGGAAGATTTTACACGAGGCGATGGGTACGAAGCTAGAGTTCAGTTCACCCTACCATCCAGAGACTGATGGTCAATCCGAGCGGACCATTCAGACATTGGAGGATATGTTACGAGCTTTGGTTGTTGACAGGGGTGCTAAGTGGGAGTTGTTGTTGCCCTACGTTGATTTCGCGTACAACAACAGTTATCATTCTTCTATTCAGATGGCTCCTTACGAGGCACTCTACGGTCGTAAGTGTCGTTTCCCTCTTTATTAGGACGACGTCAGCGAGCGTCGAGTACTCGGTCCGAAGATGATCGAGGAAACCGCAGATCAGGTCGAGTTGATCTGGCAGAGACTCAAGACAGCTCAGAGTCGACAGAAATCCTCAGCCGATCAGCATCGACGAGATATTCAGTTCGAGGTTGGCGATCCAGCTTTTTTCAATGTTCGTCCATTTCGCAGATTTGTTCGATTCGGGAAGAGAGGGAAGCTGCACCCTCGATTCATTGGCCCATTCGAAGCTCTCGAGCGAGTGGGCGAATTCGCGTATCGATTAGCCTTACCTACCGAGTTATCCAGCGTTCATAATGTTTTTCACGCATCCATGTTGCGTAAGTACGTGTGCGACCCCGATCATGTCATTCCTCATACTGACATTCAGATTCAGCCAGATCTATCTTACGAGAAGCGACCGGTAGCTGTACTGGACCGTCAGGTTCATCGGCTCCGGAATCGAGATGTTCCCCTCGTTCGTATTCAATGGGATCGCCACGGAGCTACTTGGGAGCAAGAGGCTGATATTCGCGCTCGTTTTCCCGATTTTCAGTTTTGATGTATATATTCCTTATGTTTCATGTATATTCAGTTCTGTTTGGTATTTCCGAGGACGGAAATTCTTAAGGAGGGAGGATTGTAGTATCCCGTCATGTTAGTAATATAAATCATGTGTTTAGTTCCGATACAATAATATTAGTGATTATTATTTTTCAGAATTAATTATTTCAGTCGAGAATATCCGAAATTATTTTTGAAGTCACGTTTACGTTCGGAATAATTTTGGTAATTAAGTATCATGCTTAGTTATATAATTAAGCATATTAATTGTGCTTAATTAAGATTAGTCATGCTTATAAAAAAAAAATTGTCGTGAGCAATTACCATGCAAATCATGTAAATTTTGTAAGTTTTGTCTAAGTGCCGTAAGCATGGTAGTGGACATTTTTGGGGAGACTTGTTTCCTTATTAAGCATGAGGAGTCATTATCTTAACACCTAAACTTATGACTAAGCTACTTAATTGATGACTAAGCTATGATTTAGCACAACTAAGCTTCTATGCACGGCAAATGGAGCAAAATGGTTGGACAAGAGTTATTTTCCCTATCCTTCATTCGGTTGTTTCATATTTTAGGTAAGAAGTGGGGATAAAAAATTATCCTACACTTATATTCCAACTTAAGTTATAGTTATAAGGGAGAGAGTGAGAGGTTAAGTATTATTCTCGCAAGACACGCACGGAGAAGCTCACGCACACGCACGGAAGCACCGAGCTCCGAGTGATCACGAGCATTTTGTACGACCAGGCGAGCAAGTGGAGAGGTAATCGCTTGGGATCTCTCTTTTCTAAATTAGTAGTATTATGTTCAGCCTACATCATGACAATCAAGTTCAAGTATTGGCCTTAAGTAGCTCTTGGCCGTACCATTTCAATCGTGTGGAGCATGTTCGTTTTATTTCAAAAACTCTCGAACAATTTTCATGTACTCAGTCATTTTATACTATATCATGTTCAGTTAACTCATGTTGGTCGAGGGATTTTCATGTTTAGTCGATAAGTTGGCCAAAGGACGTGGTTGCGTACGTAGCGCGTGCCACGGGCCGTGCATGTTTGTGATCAGGTTATGTGATGATCCTTCGAGCAATTCATGTTGATTTGATAAGTAAATATTATTTCATGTTAAGTTATGTGTTAGTGGTCAAAGAAAAATAAAGTCTGGTCGAGGATCGGCTTAACACGTAGGCGGCGCACGGTGCGCACGCCATCGGTCACTTTATCATATTGAGTAAACTCATGATTTTTAAGTGTATTCAGTAGTTTTGATCATGACCAGATAATTCATGTTATTTCATGTTGAGTCGGTCGAGAGAAATCGCCGG